GGAAAGAGGACTCAGATACCTTTAATTGGATAGGTAATGGTCGACCTAATTCATTTTGAACTAAAAGATATGACCATTTAAAGTTGACCCTTACAACTCACTAGTTCAAGTGACTAGTTTCCGGACGTCACGGTCATTTCTTGACGTTTGACTTCAAATCTCTTTAAACTAAACTTCAAAAGCCATTTCTCATCATTTCATCAAGTTCTCAACTCCAAACTCACATGTGAGGCTCTAGTTTCACTAGTTCATTTTTAGGGTCGTTACAGTATGAGATAATTTAAACCTTTCAAACGAGAGAAGTTCTACCCAAGCCATTTCTTTAATCCTGAACTTTGTTTGAGGGGTCCCTTTGACCTAAAACTTTAGTTTAGTTCCTAGATATTGCCACCCATTTGCAATCTTAATCTCCAATGTACGATACCAAGTCATATACACCTCATATAACCATGCCAAATAACGCCACACATATTATGCAAGAATATAGAAAAAGTACGGGATCTTACACATAAGCAAGGTATCAGAATATCTAAAGGCGCCGCATTAATAAACCACTTATTGTCGTATTCTTTTTATAAATAAATATTTGCGACTAAATGTTATTACAAACTTTCAATACATATAGTTTTACAAAGATTCACTAGTTCAAATAATCAACATTAGTAAGTAGTTTTTCTTTAATACAATTCCTTCACATGGTATGAACAATCTTGTCCACATCGAGCATAGACTTCTTTTTCACAAAACATAAACTAATGGGTTAAGTTTTATATTTTAAAATTTGAAATCCTGCTTGTTGGGAAAATTGAGATTTAAAATCAAAGTTGAGCTTTTTAAACACATTTCATAAAGAAAACGTTGAGTTCAAGCCAACATTTGAAATTTGGATCCCAAATCATATGGTTAAACGCCTACTTATTATCATTAAGATGTCTGTTCAAAATTTTATATTAAAGTGACATTTTATTGCTACTCCATTTACTGTTACTATTACTTTCGCCGCCACCGTTCATCACTATCAAATATTGTCATGCATCATCCATAACTATCATCCTCAATCACATACACTTTATCACCAATTATCATAGTCAATCGCTTGTATCATCAAACACCATTCCACAATCGTTGCCATCAAACAACATTACCATAACAATCACTAGTCTTTACCGACAATTACCACAATTATATATTGTCAGTCTTATTATCATTCACCATATCATTATCAATTATTGGTGTTTATTTGCATTTAAATGTTAAAACTATATATTAAAGTGCATGATATATTATTGCGCCTAAAGTGGAGAAAGTGATGATATTGTTCTTTGTTACTCGTGTAATTACTATCTTAATATCTTCTACTAATAATTACTCTACCACACCTCAAGTTATTATTCACTATCTCGATGTTTACTATATGAAAAACTTATAAAAAGTATGCTTTCTTCCTTATGTTATGTTGGGTAGATGAGAAGTATCATGTTGTGAATAAGATTTTTTATTTTATGTTTTTGAGATATTGTAATGAAGTTAGGCACAAAGAGTCTTCAAGTTATTCATTATACAAAATAAAAAATAAAAAAATACATTGAACATGGTGAAACTTTGGACTCCTCAACTAATTTGAAGTTGTTTAAGTTGCACGATGTTGTCTGATTATTGTATCTTAAAGAAATATGTCAATGTTATATTATTAGATCGTTTAAAATTATTCCAAAATGAGTTTGAGTCTCCTTAATGAGAGGAAAATATTCGTGTTTCAACCTAAGTTTTTAACTATTCATTTTTGTTTATTTTATTTTCAAATAATGATATTTTCACCAACATCAGCCACATAATATCGACGACTGCAACTATTGACTACTCCATTAATAATCATTATTGATTGTTATTGTCAATAATTATCATCGCTAACCGTTATACATAAATTATCATTTTCTGCCAACATCATTCAAATTGACACCCACAATCGTCACACTAATCGTCATTTCTGCTAATCGCTATATAATTTTTTTAAAAATAGGTTGTTGCTACTATTTTCATTCTGAAATCATAATTTTCTATTTTAACTTTTTTTTAAAAATTCATCATTTTAAATATATAATTTAAAATTATTTTAATATTACTTATTATATTATATAAGTCGATTAATTCAGATTTAATATTTGTAATTATTTTCTAATCTAATATAGTAGCATCAAAAAATATATTATTAGCAAGTATACGACTTTCATTCCAATTAACATTTTTTTTTATAAAAAACCCTACCAAATCACAAGAGTCGCCCTTGTTCACCACGCAAACAGTCCCCACACTTTCAATAACTATAAATTTTGAGTCAACCCAATCGAAGCTTTCAAACGACGACGTCTGGCTCCCGCAATCAGTATAAAACCGCCGTCTTCTGCCGTCTAAACTCTTTTAACTCCGCCGCCGCTTCTTCTCATCTCCGCCAGCAGAACCTCCAATGGGTACTGCCTACCCCAGAGACGAAAATTATCTAGAAATTGTTGTTCCTAGGCGTATCGCACTCTTCGTATCTATCCAAAACCAGCAACGCCTTCAGCGCCTTTCACTCTCCCCTGATCCTATCAAGTAAACTCTAATTATTTCTCAAATTGTATAATCTATTCTATTATATTACCACTCTGCTTAAAAATAAATGACTTGAGTTTGATTGTTCTATCGAGAATTTCTCAATTAAATTTACTGTAAAAGGTTGTGATTTATAGTATGTTTTGTATGTGTTAAAGATGTAAACTTTGTTTTAAAAAAATAGGAAACCATGTTGTAACTCACCCAGAAAAGTAATTTAAAAGGAGGGGTCCTTTGGTAGAGTGTATTAAACAAAATAATGCATGTATTAGCCTCAATGGCGGATCCAGGATTTTGAGGCGGTGGGTGCCACATTTTATGAATAATAGCGTGATTTCGAAATTTACATAGGAGAACTCTAATAGCCCGTTTGGCCCCAAAAGTGGTATTTGATCATAATTTTTAGGAGAAAACAGTGTTTTTGGCAAGTAGCAAAAACTGTTTTTCAAAATCTAAAAGAAATAGATTTTCCTTGAAAAAGTGTTTTTTTTTTAATAATAGACTTTTTTATCTGGTTGATAAAAATTACAATTGGATATGGTTGATAAAAATTAATAACCATTATCAATAGAAATTGAGAAATATTTTTTTAAAAAGATTGGCCAAATACTAATTGCGATTCATAAATGTTTTTAAAATTAATTGATCAAACAGAAACTGATACTTATCAAAAATATGTATTTTTAAAAACACTGTTGGAAAAGAAAAAGAAAAGAAAGAAATCTCAAAATAATTTCATTTTAAAAGCTTGTTCAAACAAAGTATAAATTTTTTATCATTAAAATTAGCATACTTAGCATGTTGGTTTGTTTTAATATTAAAGGATGTCATGGGTTCGAATCTCGTCAACCTTAATATTCTTTTGTCAAATAACAAAAAGGTGTGTTAATTATATTTGTAAGAAAAAATGTATTAGTCAAGATTCGAACCACTGACCTTAGGGGCCTTAACTTGACGGCATGCCATTGGGCTACATGATCATTTGTTAATGGGGGTGGCATGTACTATATTTATACCAATTCTGATACATACATACCTATATATATCGAGTTCCGACCGAAATCACTGGGTGCCATGGCACCCCCACGTTACTACGTAGATCCGCCCCTGATTAGCCTTGTGTATTACTAGTATCTTGTTTGCTACTCCTTTCCAACATATGTATAACTAATGCTTGCCTAAGTTATACATTCTATTGTGTATTAAGGTGTGTATTGCTAATATTATAGATTTCTAGGTATTAACAATGCAACGGTTTTAATGCATGCATTAAAACCGTTGCATTGTTAATACCTAGAAATCTATAATATTAGCAATACACACCTTAATACACAATAGAATGTATAACTTATGCAAGCATTAGTTATACATAGGTTTGAAAGGAGTGGCAAACAAGATCCTAGTAATACACAAGGCTAATCAGGGGCGGATCTACGTAGTAACGTGGGGGTGCCATGGCACCCCCACGTTACTACGTAGATCCGCCCCTGATTAGCCTTGTGTATTACTAGGATCTTGTTTGCCACTCCTTTCAAACCTATGTATAACTAATGCTTGCATAAGTTATACATTCTATTGTGTATTAAGGTGTGTATTGCTAATATTATAGATTTCTAGGTATTAACAATGCAACGGTTTTAATGCATGCATTAACTCAATTAAAACCCAATTGCCCCTCAATACCTTTTTTTATATCTTTTCCACCTAGTGAAGGGTATCTTTGTAAATAATTTTTTTAATGCAATACATTCTATTTTTGATACATCAAACTAAACAATGCATAAAAATAATATATGTATAAGTAATGCAAGCATAACTAATACATGCATTGCTAATGCAAGCATTACTAATATACTCTATTTAACATTATTTTTATACATTCTACCAAATGACCCCTTAAATGTTTTTAGAAGTGATTTATGGTGTTCATTTGTAGTTAACTTTTATTTTAAAATTAGTTTTAAGTATGACTTTATTGCTAGTTGCAGTCTCGCACAAAAACTTGCCTCGAGTATGATCTCTTCATATTCTATAAAAAAAAATAGTTTTTAACTATAAAGTTGTGATTTATAGTAGTTTTACGTATTTTTTAAATATGCAAATTTTAGTTAAAAAATGTTAAGTATGTTTGTAAATACACAAAAGATTAGTGCTTTGAACATTGCCATTCCTTTTTGGACGGAGGGAATATTTAATATGTTTTTTTTTTTTTTAGTTAAATTTTTTGAATGTTGGTTATGATTGTGTTAAATTAGGATTGAGTTACCGAATGGAACTGTGAAGGAGGGGAAGAAATGGAATACTACGCCTTTGGATATAGCGAAGGAGATATCGAAGAGCTTGGGTTCCAATGCTTTGATAGCAAAGGTGAATGGGGTGCTTTGGGATTTGTTGAGGCCATTGGAAAGTGACTGTAAGCTCGAGCTCTTCACTTTTGACAGTGACGAGGGTCGCGATACGTTTTGGCACTCGAGTGCGCACATTCTTGGCGAGGTTTTAGCCCTTTGTCTACCACATTGTGGTTATGTCTTCATCAAGTTTTGATTTTTGGAAAATGTTTTTAATAGAGTACTTGCTATGCTCTTTATTAAGTTTTGATGTGTTTTTGGTGGTTTTCTTAGTCATTGGAGAGGAAATATGGCTGCAAATTGTGTATTGGACCTTGTACAACAAGAGGAGAGGTATCGCTTTTGCCTAATCGTTAAATACTGAAGTTTATTTTAGGGGTCGTTTGGTAGAGTGTAGTAGGAAAAATAATGCATGTATTAGCTTTGTGTATTATTAGTACCTTGTTTGGTACTCTTTTCCAATCTTTTCCAACCTATGTATAACTAATGCTTGCATTAGTCATACACTCTATTGTGTATTAAGGTGTGCATTGCTAATACCATGAATTTCTAGGTATTAGCAATGCAATGGTTTTAATGCATGCATTAACATGCTAAAAGACCCAATTGCCCCTCAAAACCTTTTTTACATCTTTTCCACCATATTAGTGGAGGGTATCTTTGTAAATAATTTCTTTTATGCAATGCATGCTATTTTTAATGCATCAAACCAAACAATGCATTCAAATAATACATGTATAATTAATGGAAGCATAACTAATACATGCATTGCTAATACAAGCATTACTAATACACTCTATTTAGCATTGTTTTTATACACTCTACCAAATGGCCCCTCACAGTTTAGAAGTTTTCTGAAATCTGAGACAAAATTATCTAGTATTGGAATGAAATGGGCCCAAACAGAGCAAGATGGAGGAGGATTCATATAGTTGATGACTTTGTGGCATAGTTGATTGATTAGTTTTGGGGTCTACATCATGTTATGAAACCTTTTCTTATCTTGCATGGCTGATGGAGTTTTGGCAGGATTATTGCATTTCTTCTGTATGAATTGATTAAAGTGAAAATAGCTAGCAAGCTGATGATAAGCTTAAGTAGTTTCCAAAAAATAATTCAACTTTGGTTGGTACTTATTGCTTAACCGCTTTATTTGATAGCTGATCTCCTGGTAAATACCTTGGGACGATTCTACATCCCACCTTTAGTATCTGTAGTTGCTGCATTAACTTCAGGCATAACCTATGTTGATTTTCCGGTTGAAAGAGCCATCCTAAGAAAAAAAACCCAAGGAACTGTCCTCAGTACTATCATTTAGTGTGGCATTTCATCATTTGAGCCTAACATATTATTGATGAACTAACTTCTTAAGAAATCCATATTCCTTGAAATGAGTTAGGCAAATTTAGATAACATTGTTATTCTCAAAAACACTAAATAAGATAACATTGTTCCACTACCTGCTTCCTCCTCTCTTTCTCTCATTATAGTTTATTCTTTACTCAGTTCATATTGCTTCCAATCTGTTATGACATGTCTAAACTGCCTCTGCAGGGTTTCTATTACGATGCCTTTTATGGTGATCTGGGGTTAAATGAGGATCATTTTAAAGGGATTGAGGCAGAGGCAGCAAAAGCTGTGTTGGTATTACTCTTTTGTCTGTCAGAGTTGCCTTGATCTAATGACCATAACGTTAATTGCTTGTTGCCTCTTGAATTTTATACTTCCACAGTTCTGTCTTTTGGAGTTTCTATGTTCTGATTGATTGTAAAAAAGGGATTGAATGTTTTTTGGTTGAGTATTATGTTTCTCGTTACTCTGATGTGATTTTTTTTGATTGATGACTTCCATGTGATTATAAACTTAGTGAAAGATTTTACTTTCTGTGCTATATGGTTAGGAAGTTGGTAAAAAGGAAAGTGCATTTCAACAAATTTGATATGTTTTGTGTCAGTCTTTTGTCAAGTAAATTCAAAACAGAACCGTCTGTGTGCTGATTGCTGAACTAAGAGCAATTCTTTAGTTAAGTTAATTGTTGGGATGTCTCCAACCCTTTTATAGAACATTCACCAGAGCAGGGTCACTATTTATACTGTGGTGGACACAGCTGCGCCCAACCAATTATGTGTATCTTTTTTGTATATGCTCTCTTACGGTAGATGAATCTTCTTCCTTCTATGATCCTACATACATACCTCATCAGCGATGCAACCATAAGATTGTACCAAAGTGTAAGATAGAGATATAAGAATAATAGGCACTGTTAATGATCTATATCATCACCCAATTAGCACCTCATTAGTTTATCTTCTCTTTTCTGATTAGCAATGGCTACAATGCTCTTTCCTGTTGCTGCAGTATGCTGTTTATTTTTTTCCTGCATTATTTCCAGCATGCGACTAACTTCCCTTGATTTCTCAGGAGAAACAGCCTTTTGAACGCATTGAAGTTTCACGGCAACAAGCTCTTGATATGTTCTCTGATAATAGGTTTAAGGTTAAATTGCTGTGATCTTGCAGTCCTGATCCTTCCAGGCTTTTCTTTGTGCAACAATTTTCAGGAAATGTTCTCTCCTGTGATTTCACATCTTAATTTATTTTCCCCTATATTTTAATTAGGTTGAAATCATTAGAGATTTACCTGAAGACAAAACAATCACTGTATATAGATGTGGTCCCTTGGTTGATCTATGCCGTGGTCCGCATATACCAAATACATCTTTTGTTAAAGCACTAGCTTGTACAAAGGTGCGTTGTTGCGTATGTTCTAGAAGAAGGAGTCTGCTTATGTGTGTTGATTTGATTTTCTCTTTTCTGATCAATTTAATGATTCTAGGCTTCATCAGCATATTGGAGGGGAGACAAGGACCGAGAAAGCTTGCAAAGAGTTTATGGAATATCTTATCCAGATAAGAAACAGTTAAAGGTGACTTTCAAAAGCTGGCTACGTCGTTTCTGCATTTAACTTCCTCTGCCACTATGCCTTTCTGTAATAACCAGTACAAAAAGAATTATAAAATTTGTTTACTAAAAAAGGACGATGAAACTGTAGACCACTTAATTTTCATATGCTTGATATCTGCCCTGCCTTCAATGGAGGAAATGGATAGAGAATAAAGAGGAAATAATCCCTTATATTGTTTGAGATGGTTTAGCTCTCAATTATTTCAGGGTTATAATCTTTGGAATTGCTTTATTCTTTTTAAAAGTATCTGATGTTGCAAAGCTGAATCCATCAATGTGTTTCTGGCGTCACTTCTTGTGAGTTGTGATTGCATTACAATTACGTTTAAAAGTATCTTTGTTTAGTGAGTTTGGTAGGAGATGAAGCGTAGCCCACATGTCATTGTACGTTATTTGGGTGCTAGCTTGATGAATTAATGAAATAATATTTTATTTATCAGTAAAAGCAAAAGGTAGAGTATTTCTGTTATCCTGACTCCTGAGAGAAGGTCAAAGTACTGCTTCCAGTGAGGACTTTTTAGTAAAATAATTTCTGTTATAGGAATATCTAGCGATGCTGGAGGAAGCAAAGAAATACGATCACAGAGAGCTGACTAAGAAGCAGGAGCTTTTCTTCTTTCATCCATTAAGGTATGCCTTCAAATTATTTTACCTTGTTATAAAAAAAATGTAAGAAGGTGTGCCTTGTAATTCCCACTTAGGTGAAATATTTCATAATATTTAAATGTGAATTGTGCATTCCAGCCCTGGAAGTTGTTTCTTTCTTCCACATGGTGCTCGAATTTGCAACAAATTGCTGGAGTTCATACGGAGTCAGTATTGGAAGAGAGGCTACGAGGAGGTAACTAGCTTTGTGCTTAAATTTATTAGTTGGAAGGACTATTTGAACCACAGTGGAACCAATGTAAGTTTAGTTTGAACTGCTGGGACTATTGACTGGTTGGAGTTCAGCCTGGACAATTGCCGAAACTGTCTTCTTTCTGAAACAACATTTGTTTCTTGATTTCATTTGATATGGATAGTGCACTCCTCATTATTTAGTGGGACTAAATCCTTTTTGCCCCTTGTCGAAAGAGATCAGCATGTGGTGCCTTAAAATTCTTCATTGACAATCAATTACGTCCTTAGACTAGATCAAAATAGCAAGGATATGGAGACGTAATCATGAACACAAAGACACTATACTTTTAAGATGAAGAGGGAAATGACACAGATACACCCTTTTAGTAATGACACTGTCTCTATTATTGATGTGTTAGACTCAATTTAGACGTAGAAAAGTGAAATCAGGAGTACACTTGTATATAAGGTTACAGTACGACCCATGTACTGTTTTGTGATATAAAACAAAGTTACCAAGTGCAAAATAATATGAAGCTGGAGGATTAGTTTTGCAGAAGTATCTATAGCTATAAAATGCAAAATTAAAAGGGTGCAAGAGTCCCATAATTCTTAGTTCTGCATCCTAAATAGCATTAAGTACCAAATAAAATATATGGGAAATAAGTCTATTGTGCAGGGATTTAAAATATAAATGAGAGATGTAGGATAAAAGCAGCCTGTAGCACGGAACAAATTCAGTGAATGAGCAGAACAGTCATAGACCGAAAGAGAACATTGTAACTTTGAGGAAAGAAAAAGACTAATTAGGGGTACTATAAAGGTGGAGCCAATTCCTTTATTCATCAAACCAGGTTCTTTTCTTCTTTGATTAGACTTTGAGTAAGAATGATGGTTGTTTTTTGAGTTCAACTTTGTATTCTCTATTTTACAGTGTTCCTAAGGTGGGTGATTGGAAGTTTTGGCAGTGTGTTGGACCTTAATTTATTTTCTTTGATTGGTGAAAGTTTTGTATTAAAGAGTAGCAAACTGCTGCAAAGTATACATAGAAAAGGCTCATTACAAGTTGTGTAATGAGCTCAAAAAGTCTATCATGGCCTCCCAATAAAAATCAAAGAAATGCATCTGTTGTTAATGCTGATAACAAATTTCTTTTTGCTCTAAAAAATTCTTGTGTTCCTTTCTTTCCAGATGATCCACCAGATGGCAGCTACCAGTTGGATTCCTTAATTGCTTCTAGCATGTTCTAACCTTGAATAGACCCTTGGCATCCCTTTTCCAAATTAAAGAGTCAACTTTAGCTTGAACGAGATTAATCTGGCTAAGTTGGCTAAGTAAAGATGGCACCATTTAAAATCTTGTTAACTGACTCCAATATTCTTGTCAAAGATTAGGTGTAGTTGCTGTCTCAACATCAGACACCCCTTACTCGATCAAGGGAGACTTGTAATCAGAGAACACACATGTACTAAAGAGATTAAATCAAACAGAAAGGGAAGTTGTGTCTGACCTGCGTCCCGTGTCGATGCAACAATTCATGTGGTGTCTGCTTCTTATGATTAGATATTATGTCTAACTCGTCCTCCTCTTTTTTTGTCTTGGACTATGAATTTTCTCTGCTTTTTCTCTTTATCCCTTGCTCTCACTCCTCAGGCAAAAGGTTGAACCATTTTTTTTTAAATAAGATAAAGGTTTATTGACTAAGTACCAAGAAGGTACCAACACCAAAAGATACAAAAGACTGCTGGGAATATCCATACAGTTAATTACAACATCTCCCTAGCGACTCCCAAAAATCCATATATTGATCTATATTATCAAGGACAAAAGGTTGAACCATTGAAGCTTAACCTGTTACCTTTCCTGGTTCAGGGATAAAAAACAATCAAGAGAATTATGTGCTATTCTGTTTATGAGTGCTTGTCTTGATACATGATCCATGCAGGTTTGGAGTCCAAATATGTACAATATGCAGTTATGGGAAACTTCTGGTCATGCTGCAAATTATAAGGAGAACATGTTTGTGTTTGAGGTAAATTTGGCTGCACTAATAAGCAGCTCTGATATTAATTATGGTGTATCTGAATTAGTTTTTCATTTTCTTAAAACCTCTAATTTCTGGAATATAGATTCTTCTAGGAGTTTTTTTTTTTTTTTTGATAAGATAAGTGTTATTAATAACAGCATCAAGAAGATGCAAGATTTACAAGCTATGGCATTTGAGCTTACAAAAAAATCTCTGGCTAACTATACAAACTATCTAAGCCAGAACTAATGAGTTAGTAAAATCCTTAAGTTGTTCTGCATTAACAGCAGGATACAAGTTGGACCAACTAAACAAATTTGCAATGCACCTACTCTTCAAAATGCCTAAAGCAGTTGACTCTCCATCAAAACATCTCTTGTTCCTCTCTAACCAAATACACCAAAAAATACAAGCAGGTATCATAATCTAGATCTTCTTGATGGCTTTGTCAACTTTCCATAGGCTCCAACTCTCATATGCATCCTTAACTGTGAGGGGTGTGGTCCAATTGATGCCACAGAGACAAAAAAACATGCTCCATAATTCTGAGGCCACCTCACAATGAAGAAGAAGGTGTCTGGGGGTTTCAGCCTCTTTTTTACACATATAGCATCTGTTTGGGAACTGGATTTTTCTTTTTTCTTTTTTCTTTTTGTTGTCTTAGGTGAGACATGCCTCATATAGAGCTGTACAGGTGAAAAAACTACCTTAGGTGGTAGCTTGGTCCTCCAAATGAGTTTCCAGGGCCAGTTATCTATCGCAGGGTTTCTAGAGCACAATTGTTGATACCCTTCCTTGACTGTATAAACTCCTTTCTGGTGTCCCCACTTGAGCTTATCAGCTGCCTGGAGTATTTTATTATAAAGGCAAAAAGGAAAATTGTTGTAACTCGAAGCACATATGTATATCTCTCTTAGACTTTGTTGTAAAGACGCAGTGTAAAGGAAGTCCTTTTCAAATGTAGATAGTGTACGGAGATGCATACTGCAGATGGTTGCCTTACTCAGTCATTGCACTCTCCGGGTGGCTATTACATTTTTGAAAGGAGTAATTATTTCCCGCAAGAGAAGCAATTCCCTTATTTATACAAATCAGTCGTAAAATTTATGAACAGCATATAACTCTGAAGTTCGGTTCTGGTCAAGTAATTGGAGTTAAATAATCCTACTAACACTCATATCAGAGGGTTGGCTCCAAACAAATTTCCCGGTCATGAAAAACACTCATATAAAAGAAAGAATAAGCATCCTTATTTTTTGGGGAAGGATTTTGGAGAAGGGTTCCTATCAGTGAAATTTGGAATCATAGTTATAATATGAAGAAATGAGGGGAAAATTACTTATTAAAAAAGAAAACAGGGGTAAAACCTCCAGATATTTTGTCAGCGTATGATGGATCAATTTAAGTGCTATAAGATGGAGAAGTATTTGCAAGGTGAAAGGACACTTCCGCGAATTTATTAAAATAAATTTGCATTTATTGATCCCAACTTAGTGAGCAGTTTAGTCAACAGATGAATCGGTACAGGATTAAGACATATGACTGTGAAATACGTTGTTATAAATGTGGTTTCCAAACTAAAACTTATATTTAAAGCTGATTTAATATATTTGTTCTGGATAAGCTTAAACATTATGTTCTTTATGTTTCATGTTTCACTAAATTTCTAGTATGCATGTTCTTTTCTGAAGGGTTAATATTATTGATGTCAAAATCAGCACTAAGAAAGTGCTGTCATTACATCCAAAAGAGAACAGAAAAAAGGAAAGAAAAGGAGGAGCCCCAAGACTAGCATATACAAAAGCTTCCAAGAACTGTAATTGGAGTTCCTAATCATTTACTCATTCAATTTACACCAAAAAGAAATAAAAAGATACAATCAGATTTGCTCATAAATTGACTTGCAGGTTATTCAACTAGGATAGAAATGCCAGATAATTAGTAGAAATAAGATGAACCTTCATTTATTTGAGATATTTAGTTCTGAAAAACAAGCTAGATTTATGTTGTTTTTAGTCTTCCTTTCTTTTTGTTGGACAATGCTGTTCACATTAAAATTTGCACTTTTTCTAGCTAGGGTTATAGTATCTTGTCTTGTAAGAAGTGGTGCCTCTGGCCGCTAATTTCAGCTAGATGCTTTCCTAAGTAAAATGGTTCTTGCTTCTTTGACCTGCAGATTGAAAAGCAAGAATTTGGGCTGAAGCCAATGAACTGCCCGGGTCATTGTTTAATATTTGATCACAGGGTTCGCTCCTACAGGGGTGAGATTTTCCAATAGTTACTTTGCTCCACCCAGCAGTTACTTTCCTCTTTTCTTGCTTTACTTGCACGCTTTAGTTGTAGTATTGGTCTTGCATGCAATTTCTTGAAACTAATCATGCTTGATATGAGATTTTTATGATAACATAGAGGACACTTGTATACTTCTTGTATGCGGATGTTTTCCTTCCCTTATTTATAAAATTTTATTACTTGATCAATAAAACATAGAGGACACTTGACGACGAAATGTTAGTGGTACTGGGGTCTTTTGATAACATAGCGGACACTTTGTATACTTCTTGTATGCGGATGTTTTCCTTCCCTTATTTATAAAATTTTATTACTTGATCAATAAAACATTAAGGACACTTGACGACGAAATGTTAGTGGTAATAGGGTCTTTTGAAAACAACCTCTCTACCTCCACGAGGTAGAGGTAAGGTCTGCGTACACTCTACCCTCTCTATACCCCAGTTGTGGGATTACACCAGGTATATTGTTGTTGTTGGTATTATTCTAACATCAGTTGGTCAAATTACGAAGAAGCTCAACGCAGTGCACCTTGTTGAGGGATGAAATTTGATGGAGATTTGTTATCTAAAAGGAAGATTGTTTGACATGCAACATGTTCACTGCAAATAGTCTTTTCATAAAGTCCAAGATCTTCTCATTATTAGTACCAGCCTTTAGCAGTCTGCTGCACCATACCCGAATTTAGTTTCGTCTTTATAGTGCCTCTATCTATCTCATTGATCCCATTGCCACTGCAAGCAACACATTAACCATCTGTCCAACAATGCAGAGCTACCACTTCGTCTGGCTGACTTTGGGGTTCTGCACAGGAATGAGGCCAGTGGTGCACTTACTGGCTTAACACGTGTCAGGAGATTTCAGCAGGTAACACCTTTTTTGTTTCCTTTTCATCTTTTATGGATGATCATGCTAGTGTTTTCCTCAAGGAGCATTAGTTATTTGTTTGACATGAATTTTCCATGTTTCTTCCTGCATAAGAAGCAACCTATAGGCTCTTAGGTCCTTTTATTCACATTGTTCAATTGGCGGTTATATTTATTTGTTTTTTCATATCTGGGATAGTCTATTGCCAAGGAACTTCCACCTGTAGAATCTTTTTCTACAAAACATCTTAATAGCTCTGTTGTGCTAAAACAACCTTTTTTTATAACCCTATTCCTTTGCAGGATGATGCACACATCTTTTGCAGAGAGTCACAGGTTTGTTAAGATTTATGATTATGTGCAGTTAACATATAACATTATTTGGAAACTAGTTTAATCTAAGTTCTTCATGTTGCAGATTAAGGATGAAGTCAAGGGTGTCTTAGAGTTCATCAGCTATGTGTATAAGATATTTGGTTTCACTTTTGACCTGAAGTTATCAACGGTACTACTTTATCTATTCCATTATCCTTCAAATTCGTTATATGCGATCTCAGCTGATATTGATACTACATGCATTTATTATTTTAATAGTCATTACAGATACACCCTTAGTATGGAACATTTATGTTGTGAATGTTTTTCACATTTTCCACATGCGTACATTCTCTTTCCATGTATACCAACACATATTTCTGACTTGCAGAGGCCTGAAAAATATCTCGGAGACATAGAAACTTGGGTAAAGGCTGAAGCTGCTCTTTCTGAAGCATTGAACGAGCATGGGAAGCCCTGGGAGGTTTGCTATCAATTTTGTTGGATTTTAAAATGTAAAGTTGTCAGACTGTCGGACTACATCTATAATGACTGTACTCCCTTTTTGCCGATTAAAAAACAATGGTTTTACTCCTATTTTTGGTGCTTTTATTTTTATTCATCCCAATTTATGTGTCGAATCACTTCATCAATTTTCTTTTTTAGAAAATCTTCATTTAAAAATTATGTCAGATCTCTTAATACTGGCACCATTCTACATTTCTACTATTAGGAATTCTAATTTAACTTGTGTTTACGTTAATACTATTTAAGCTAATATCTTAGACTCCTTGCACAATCAAATGTTTTCATATAAAATGAGATGTAGGGAGTACCTTTTTCGCGTTACCTGACAGAAAAAGTGAGGGTTGGGGGTTGCCCCTCTTGCAATTTTCCTGTTTATATATGGAAAATTGAGGTAGTCCCCATGTATCAGTGTTTTTTTGGTTATTTCGTTTTCTTAATTGCTTTTATCATGCCTTTTACTTAAAGAATCCCATTCAATTAGATCAATGAAGGAGACGGAGCATTTTATGGCCCAAAAATTGATATAAGTGTTTCTGATGCAATGAAGAGGAAATTCCAGTGTGCGACATTGCAGGTCATTTTTGTTCTTATTCTCCTTGGTTCATTTTCACAAACAATATCATTCTTTACCTTTGAAATTCACCTGCCTTAAAGTTTTTCTGCATGTTCTTTTGTACCATGTTGGAAGTATCATCTGAATGCTGTGTTTTTCAGCTTGATTTCCAACTCCCTCAACGTTTCAACCTATCATACTCAGCAGAAGATGAAAGTAAGAGAGAGAGACCAGTTATGATACATAGAGCGATCCTTGGGTCAGTTGAGCGTATGTTCGCTATTCTTTTGGAGCATTTCAAAGGGAAATGGCCTTTCTGGCTTAGTCCACGTCAAGCTATGGTCTGCCCTGTTTCCGATAAATCGCAGTCATATGCACTTAAGGTTAGTTACATTTACGTACTTTATCCTATTGATGTATTAATGGTTTAACTATTAAAAGACTCCCTTCTCTAAATCCTGTCTGTGCATCTGATTGGATGATATTCCTTAGATATTTTTTATTTTCGTGTAATGTTATTACTGTTGGGTATGTCTCATTCTTTTTATTCGACTCAAAGGGTACTCATGGTAGTTAGGTTTAGTTTTTCTTCTCTTATTTCTATTCGTTCTTTACAGTAAGTAGTGTCATTAGTTGATGCCTTTTTTTTTTCTTTTTTTAATAACTAGGTATTCTACTGTTACCTTTGTCAAAAAAAAAAAAACTAGGTATGTTGTTTTACTAATTAAAATTACCAAGAAGGAACAACATAAGTACAGCAATAGAAATTTATTGTTGATACTTGTAGATTTAAACTTCAATTTGTTAGTTAATAAGTAGGCTGGATGTATGTAGTTTCTCAACCACAGTAACATGGTTGTACAGATAGACTTTTTGAGGGGTAAAAAACACAATATAGGATTTTGTGTTGGCATCTGCAATTGCACTGTTGGTGTTGGCTTCAAAGCATGAAGCAGGATTTTGAAGTGCTGTAAATTGTGCAGTTGCAGATTTTGAGAAAAAAATTATAGGATTTTTTTGTTGGCATCTACAATTGCACTGTTGGTGTTGTCTTCAAATCATGAAGAGTGATTGTGAAGTGCTTTGAATCACAGAGTTGGTAGAACCTGCATACATGTATTATTGAAGATGCTGAGTAGAGAAGTTGGACAGTTGATAGGGAAGGGTAGCTTTTTGGCTCAGCTCCCATATCTTGCCAACTTCCTCGACAGGAAGATAAAGAGTTGGATGTTGTTGAGGACTGTTGGAGCCCCAACAACTCATGATCACTGCGTATGTATCCTGAAGGGCACATATAGTTTTTTTAATAAGGCCACGTGTTTTTTTGTTGATTTAAGTCTATTTTGAAGAATCCACCGCGTGAAACACCTTCACCCATGTCATGCGTTGCAATAGGGGTACGTCAAGGCAAAAAAGGGACGTAATATAAAAAAGTCAATTGCCGATTGATAAAATATAAATATGCTGAGTTTATTTACCAAATATCCTTTCGTGAATAATTTTTTGTGTACTTAATCCATTATGAAAATTGCTTTAACCTGTGGCAGAAGGTGGAGGATTTGCGGCTTAGGTCGCAAGTTCAAGCCTCACACCATGCAAAGTGAAGCCCGGTATTTAAGTGGAGAAGGGTAGAGGGGCGGGCCCATTATCCACCGAGTTTAGAAGGCTGTGATTGGTCCAAAGGGCGGGTCACAGACGGATTTCTCGGTTATCAAAAAAAAAATAATAATAAAAAAAAAAAATTGCTTTAACCTGTTGCTCTTCTTTTATTCAGCTCCGGGAGCAGATACATGATGCTGGTTATTACGTTGATGTTGATACAAGTGACAGGACAATCCAGAAAAAGGTTAGATTCTTATTGTAGTTTGTCATGTAAAATGCATGATTGGTTTGCATTATGAGGGTCACTAGCATTTTTCCTATATGATCTCATTATTAGTATACAGTAACATTTAGGTCCAAGGGCCAAGTACATGGAGTTTCTCTGTTTTCTGGGAAGTTTATTTTACAGAAGGATCATTTGTAGTAGGTCCATTTGTAATAGGTACTCCATAAGACTTGGCAAGTTATGATCAATAAGGGTCCACCAGTTTTGTCACTTAACCTCTCGTTCACCAATCTGTGCAGAGCACTATTGAAATCATTAGGATGGTCAATATGATCATATACTTGGTCATGGGGAAAAGGTCATAGTGCCCTACAGATTTATGTTCATTTCAGCAATGAACAAATTTATCAATTTTTCCATTAAAGTTGATCAACCTATATCCTTGTGAAAACTCACCTATGCAGTGTGACATAGTTTAGGTCATTTTACCATTTAGTCCATGGCATAAGAGATTAAATCCTTCTAACTGTAACCATTACGGTTTGTAAAAAAAGGACTGACATTTTCTTGAATTAGTTGAGCAACATCTGGCTTCATAAAGCAACCAGACAAATTAATTAGTTGACTGAAAAATAGGTAAAGAGGAGGTAGCATCCGTCCACAAAATAATTGGTAAAACCTGAAATCTTTCATATATCTGCTCTTGTACTCTGGAGAGCACATGATTGAAAATGGTATTATGTAATGCTTTCAGTTTTTGAAGCTACACACTTGATGATTTGATAAATTTTTCTCTCAAGCAATACAAGTTCAATCTCAAATTGAAACCTTTTGTTGGTCTGTTAAACAATTGCTTGTGGCTTTTAATGTATATGCAGGTACGAGAGGCTCAAGTGGCACAATATAACTATATTCTGGTTGTTGGAGAAGCTGAAGCCACTAGTGGGCAGGTATTTTATTTCCCCCCAACCTTCACTGCTTTATCCCTACAGCATGCATTGCTATATTTCTTTTTAAAATGTGCAACTGAACAAACTAAGAAAAAATTCCATATCACTTTGATCCAGCTCCATCAGCTCTCTAAGGTTCTGAAATAATCTTTGTCAAGAAAAGGTTCTGGCTGATAATAAACTTCTTGTATGTACTGTTTTGTATTGATTGAGATATTTTGTGGCTCACTTGTTTGATTTCTTCTTGTTCCTCTTCTTCCAACTCCTATTATTGACAAAGATGTATCTTATGCTAAACTTTCTACTAATTACTGATTTGTCTCTATCCCACCCCGTTTGAAGAACTAGAAAGAAAAGGGCTTCCAGCATGATTTGTGGAGGTTCATTGACAAATTCTCTTACAGTAGCCCTGGTAACAGAGATGTTTTAGGAACAAATTCTCTTATGATGTCACCTAGATGGTGTCTTCAGTAGCAGCTAAACAATTGAAAGTAGTTGCAAACTGAATATTTCCCACCAAAAGATCAGTCCCATTATAACATTCACATGAAGGAGCTTTGAGAATCTCAAAACTATTTGATAGATTTAGTAGCCAATCAGATCACCTATGGCTGGATAATTCTGACTTTACTAGGCAAGGTGTTTCTGCTGAGCTGGTGATTGATTTGTTTGGAAAAAAATATATATCTTATTTTGCTGATTTGATGGGGGTGCACATCAACTTTTGGTTCTCATTCCAAATATTCTGCTTAGTGATATTTCTGGTTGTCAGTTTCCTGGGTTCATGCATTTCCTCCATATGATTTCTTGTCTTCTCATTTTGTAGCCAAGTTTTACTGCTTTTATTTTTGCTGAAAAAATCTGGTCTTCTATTTGTGAAAATGATTCTAGGTGAGTGTTCGAGTGAGAGACAAACCTGATCATCAAGTCATGACAGTTGACGTTCTCCTTGCTCACTTCAAAGATATGGTTGCATCATTTCAGTAAGAGTCGCCACTTCTCTTGCATTATATCCCCAAGGTCTCTGGTGAGCGCAGCACGCTAGACTCATGGACACGGATTTGAAACCTTGCTGCAGAAGAACGAACACCTAGTATTTTGATCCATTGTAGGTATTACATTATAAATCCAGTAGGATACTTTTTGACTTGAATGGTTTTCAATAGCATGTTAGTTTCATCTTATTCTCTCTTCTAATGTGGGTTTGAGTTTTGACTTAAATGGTTTTCAATAGCTGGTAAAAGTTGTATAATTTTTTGTCCAATTAATTAATCCAGAAGGTAATTAAGGTGGCATTTTTCTTTTCACTACTTAGTGGTAGTAATTTTATATTTGTTACTGAACATTCAAAGATCTATTATAGGGAATTCTCAAATTTATAGTATTCTCAATAATTGTATGTTGTCATAAGTTACGGTTGAATAATAAAATAAAAATTGCTTGAATAAATTAAAAGATCAAAACCACGGTGCTTAATTATTGCTTATACTATAGGGCATACACCAACAAAGTCATTCTAGTTGTTTAGGATTTTCATAGTACATGAAATATAAAATATAAATGAGGTATATATGTTTTAAGTGTTAAGTGTAAGTTACCAAAAAAACAAAATAATAATTACGCCTAGCTAAATATAAAGAGGAAAGTATGGATATATACCGTTTGACCAACTAGTTAATCAATATAACATGTATACTAACATATGCATTAAATTAATATATTTAGTAAAAATTATACACAATCTATACACTTTGTAAATTAATTGATTGAAATGTTTAGGATCGTAATTATCACCAGTGTGTGTAAAAAATGAACTGAAAAGATGTTATTGGGTTAACAAATTTTTAATGATTTTATAAATTTTTTTATTGGGTTATCGGTTCGATTTTGGTTTTTACTATTGGGTTATTGGGTAAACTGATAACCCATTAAGACGGTAGTAATTTCCTACTTTACCTTTCATAAATACTAAATATTAGCAATTTAACATAACTAGACACTATATCAGTACTCTACTACCATCTACATGATTAAATATTGCTATCTTTCTTGTTTCACTATATCAAAATTAAATGTTACTATCTTTCTTGTTTCACTATATCAAAACATTTACAGATTTGCTTATTTCACTGTATCGCGCTAAATTATGAGAGAAGTGAGAAGTCATATATTCATTTAATGAGCATTTTTTTATTGGATAAACCAAAAATCGAATCGTTAACGATCAAAAAACCGATAAAAAATATCTTATTAATTTAGCATATTCAAAATTGAAAATCGATAAACTGAACCGATAATACATAAAACTAAATTTAACCGACCGATGCACGCCCCTAATTATCACGCTATAAAGTTGGGATAATTATGGGAATTGGCCACTCGACCATCCTATTTACAAGAAAATTGGTCCAACTTTGTTAAAATTATTTGAACTGGCCATTCAGCCATAACGCTTCTACTTCTTCCTTCCACTTTAGCCATTAAAGTTTCAAAACTTGATTTAAAATTTTTATGTATCACAAATATGAATCGCTTCAAGCGAATTATATATCAAAAGACTCAAAACATTGAGAGGATTTCATATCTAAAATTTGAGATTGTTTAGAGGAGATTTTGAGTTGGTCAAAATCAAATAAAAAGAAGTAAAATTAGTTGCAATAAAATCACATGTATAGTTAAGCTATATACAACTTTTTGAGTGTATCATAATGCATAGTTAGTGTATAGTTTCTATGATGTATTATCGTCTATTGTTCTAGTATATGATTATGTGTTTCGTATTTTCTTATTTTCTGCACCTTGATGTGGCATCCACACTAGTTTTAATTTGTAGAAACAATGGTAGTTATTAGCAGAGGTGAATCCAAGTTTTGAAGTTTATGAGTTTGTATAACAACCTCAAGTTAATATACAATAATAATTAAATTCACATTCCAATATTATTTATAAAGATTTAATAAACTTTTATTATTACACTAGATAATGTTGCCCGTGCTATGCACGGGCCCAATAATATAAATGGTATGTTTTAGGGCTACTAACGGAGTTTTTGAAGCGATTGTTTGCGTGGATAAAGGAATAAGTTTTCTTATTACAAAGTTGTACTTTCTTTGACGCTATGTAAGGCATAATAAGACTACCACATACAATATTTTTTTAATATTTTATGTTGTCAATTATCATGATTTATAGTATTTTTACGATAGATTAACTTCAAGAATCAATGGAATTTTTT